TGCGGCCGCCCGGCCCGCGGCCCCTGCTGCCCGCCCTGCCCGTCCTCCGAGGAGGCCCCGCTGCCCAGCCCGCTTTCCTGGCTTTGTCCCTGAGCGCGGGCAGGAGCTTCCTGCTGGAGAATTCCCGGATCCTCCCCGGGAGGCCGCGGCCCGGCCGGGGAGCCCGTGCGGGGCGGGTCCTGCACCCCAGGCTTGCAAATTGCAAGCCGGGCTGCCTGCTCTGCCCGGCCGCACCCCTCCCCGCAGCCGCGAGGTCACCGTCCGTCCCAGACCCGCTCGCAGGGCCCCGCCGGGTGGCCCGGGGTGGGTTGGGGGGCTGGGGCACGGTGGCTGGGCCTCTGGTCCTCACGGAGCAGGAGCCAGGGGCGGGCCAGGTGAGGCAACGCGCCCTAGCCTTGGGGGATCCCGCCCCTTCCTCTGCACCCCAGTCTTCCCAGCTACCCCGGTGGGAGCCAGCGCCCTGGGTCCTTGCCCTCCTCCTCCTCCTGGGCCATCTCTGGCCTCCCAGCTGCCCACCCGCTGGAGCTGGACTCTCCCGAACTGCCAGAGACACCTCCAACCCCGATTCCCAGTGGGGGAAGCAGCGCACGCCGGGCGCCCGGAAGTGAGTCTCTGGCCCTCAGCCTGCTCCCCGGCCCGCAGCAGCTACCATCCTTCAATCTGCCAAGCCCAGTGTCTCGGTGCCCCTGGCAGCTTCGGGATGGGGCTGGGGTGGGAGTAGAGGGCTGGGGCAGTTGGGCTGGCCCGCTGACCTCCGGGGAGGACATCGGGGATGATGGATAATTGGTTGCCCGTGGGCAATAATTCAGTCAGTCATGCGCAAAGTCCCCACAAAAAAACCAAAAAGGTGAGTGGGGAGTGGTGGTGCACACCTGTAATCCCAGCACTTGGGAGGCTGAGGCAGGAGGATCGCTGTGAGTTTGAGGCCAGTCCAGGCTACAAAGTAAATTCAAGACCAGCCTGAACTGCATAGCGAGACCCTGTCTCAAAAACCGAATTAATTAATTAATCATTTAATTAAAATAAAGCAGGACCCCACAGGTGCTGGGTGCTGGGTGCCTGGCCACACTGAGCAGGCTTCTGTCTCACTTCTCTGCCTCTGTCTCAGCTAGATTCTCCGGGCAGCAGTGGCCGAGGCCCTGTGGGGACTCCGGGTGCCAGGCGCCCAGCCTGGGGCTCCGGTCATGGGCAGGATGCAGAGACTGGTGGTGGCCCAGCGTGTGGGGATGTACCAACCCCCTCGGGCGTCACGACTGTGCACACAGGGGAAACTGAGGCGCTAGTCCTCTATTCCCACAGCCTGAGAAAGCTGGAGCGCAGCCTGGCAACCTGTTGGGGACCCAAGGAACAGGACGGTGGCACCTGTTCCCCAACTTCTTCCCATCAGGCAGATGGGGCGGCAGCTTCATGTCAAATCCCAGCACTTTGGGAGGCTGAGGCAGGAGGATTGCATATTGGAGCTCAGCTTAGGCCACTAAAAGACTTATTGCAACCTTGTCTCAAAATATAGATTTAAAAAGGGCTGGGGATACAGTTCAGGTGAAGGCCCTGGGTTCAGTCCCCAGTACTGTAAAATCAAAGAGACAAAAATCCCCAAAACTTGTCCGGGTCTGAGACCTCTGCTGAACTGCAGCAAAGCTTTCTCTTTCCTTTTTCTTTTCTCTTCTCTCCCCACCCCTTCCTTAGTTCTTTTTATTGTTATTGCCAAACTAGGTATTGAACCCTCACATGTGAGCCAAATTTTAAACATTTTATTCTGACAGGATCCTGTTAAGTTGCCCAGGGTGGCTTCAAACTTGCAGTCCTCCTGCCTCAGCCTCCTGGTAGCCTAACTATAGCCCTTTCTTCCGTGACCCGGAGCTGGCCGGGCGCCACCTTCCCAGGAAGGGCTCCAGGGCTGCCGACCTGAGAGCCTGGATCAGGAACACAAGTCACCGCGTTCGCTCCAGCTCTGCCCACCGCCAGCTGTGTGACCTTGGGTGCATGATGACGTCTTTGTGCTCCGGGTCCCACACTGCACGTGGAGGTGACCATAAACAGGACCCGCCTTGCACTGTGGTGTGGTGATTTCATCCAACATGCTTCGAGGAGAGTCTGCCCCCAAGAAATAGCTGCATGAATGTCGACAACAGTTTGTTTTATTTTGTTTGGTGCTGAAGATCGAACCAACCCAGGGCTTCATACCTGCGAAGCATGACTTCGGTCATATGTTGTCACCACCAGAATGACTGCTCCTCCCGTCTGGGAAGGGCTGTGTCACAGCGGTGCACCCCGGGAAGGAAGGGGCACGAGAGGGGTGGGAGCCCCCCATCCCTTCTCCTCCAGGGCCTGAGGGAGAAGGACCCTTGTGGTCCTCCTAGTCCTCGATGGCCACCGCAGGTCCTCTGGCGCCACCTCGTGGCCCGTGCTTATATTGCACCGCTGAGCCGCTCGCCAGCAGGGGCTTCCGGGGCGCGGGCCCCCAGGGCCGCGGAGGGGGACCCCGTGAGCAGGTGCAGAGGGCGGGGCCCCAGGATAAACAGGAAGTGGGGACAGCACTTCCAAAAGGGCAAGAAAGGGCTCTGGGCCTGGCCTGGTGGCGCAAGCCTGTAATCCCACCACTTGGGAGGCTGAGGCAGGAGGGTCATTGCAAGTTTGAGACCAGCCTAGGCTACAATGTGAGTTTAAGGCCAGCCTGAACTGCATAGCGAGACCCTGTCTCAAAAAGAAAAAAAAACAAAAACAAAAAGAAAGAAAGAAAGAAAGAAAGAAAGAAAGAAAGAAAGAAAGAAAGAAAAGGCGCTGCTCCCATGGGTCTAAGCCAGGTACCCGGCACCCAGGTAGAGGGTCTGTCCCTGCCCTGCAGACCTTGGCTGTGGCAGATCCAGGGGTCCCCCCACCTTGGGAGACTGACTTGAGACGTCCTGTGAAGGGGTGATGGTCACTGACCAGCTGGTGGCTGGGGGGAGTCCAGGGCCTCAGAGGACAGGGACCTGGGATGGGGCTGAGCTGAGGGGGACGCTGTCATGTGGGTTTTTTTTTTGTCTTTTCTTTTTCCCTAGGACCGGAGATTGAAACCAGGGGCCTTCACACTGGGCTGAACCCCAACCCCACTTTTTATTCATTATTTTGAGACAAGATCTCATTATATTGCCCAGGCACACCTTCGATCCTCCTGCCTCAGCCTCCCAGAATACTGGGACTGCAAGCATGGGCTGTGGTGCTGGGCTTGCCCTGTGTTCTTTACCCAGTGCCTGCCGTGTGCCAGCCTCAGTTCCAGGCACTCAGAAAAGAGCATCTCGGTTAATCCTTCCAGCTCCCCCGGGAGACGGGCGCTATCTTATTCCCTCTCACAGATGAGGAAACTGAGGCAGAGAGAGACGCACACAGCGCGGTGCCGGTGGGGTTCGAACCCAAGCAGCGTGAGTCCAGCTTTCCCTCAGACAGTCCTGTCCTGCCAGGGCCTACAGGAAGGGGGACCATTTCCCCCTTCCCCCAGGCCTGCCATCTCCGGGTCCCAGACAAAGTGGCCCCAAGTTCCAAAGACAGTCGGCTGGGGAAGGCCGGGGACCCCAGATGTGTCGGAAACCCCCACCTCCTTTGGGCACCTCTGCTTTACCTCGGGTCTTCTTCGGGTCCTCTGGGCGCCCGCGTCCCTGTCCCTCCTGCCCCGGCCTCCCTGACTGCCCGCCCACAGGGAGGTGGCTCCTGCTCCCCTAAGAGGCACAGCAGCTCCTCCGCTGCCCACAGGCGGCAGGAAAAGCAGCACACAGAGGGCTTGCACCCCAAACCTGAGTCTGACCCGGGGGGCCCTGGCCGCAGAGGGGTCCTGGGACCAACCGCTCAGGAACAGGAGGCCCTGTCACGGTGCCAGCGTGGCCGGAAACTTCCAGAAGCTTAGAAGGCAAGGAGGAGCTGGGGCCGGGGCCAGGGCAGAGGAGATGGCACCGCCCCAGCTTGCATCTCTGCTCCCCCTCTCCCCAGGGCCTGGGGTCTCTGCAAGCACCCAGCCGCCTGTGAGGGTCTGAATCGAGGCTGAATCCCAACTCAGATTCACTACTTGCGGGCATCTGCGGCTCTGATGAGGAACCCAGCCCGGGGACCTCACTTTGTTTGCCTGTAAAATGGGCCAGGCCCACAGCACCTGTGTCCGAGGGTGGTGACTGAGATCCACACGGCAGTGGTCCCTGAGGGGTGAGCAGGCGGCAGTGTCTAAACTCGAAACCTGCGCTTTTCATCACTCAGTACTGAGAAAAAGGTCAAGGCGAGGGGTGGCACTGGACGTGGCGGTGCGTGCCTGTAACCCCAGCACTCTGGGAGGCTGAGGCAGGAGGACTGCACCTCCTGGCCAGCCTGAGCAATTTGAAGGAAGCCACCCTGAGCAGTTTAGGGGAGGGTGTGGGGAGGTAGCTGAGTCCCTAGCCCTGGGTCCAATCCCAGCACCGGAAAAGAAAAGCCAGTGAAGGCTGAGAATGGGGAGGCAGAGCAGCAGGCGAGCGGGCCCCGGCCGGCAGGGTGGGAGCTCCCAGGGCCCGGCCCACCGCATCCGGCGGCCGAGAGTGACTTCCTCTAGAGGGAGCTGAGCGCGGCGGCGGCGGGCACCTCTAGGATCTGTGCAGCCACGGGTCCCTCGCCCAGGGTCGGCGCGGCGGCGGCATCCGGACCTTGGCAATGCTCTGACGGCAGCCGGTTTCGGGAAGCCGGCCTGAAGCACCTTCCCGGGGAGCTCGGACCTCGGCCCTGCTGAGCCATCGGGCCGGCCGGAGCCCGGACAGGTAGGCGGCAGAGCCCCCCGGCCCCCGTCCCGGCAGCCTGGCCTGGAGGGCAAGAGCCACCCCCGGCCAGTGGGGAGGGGGCCTGGAGTTTGGGGCTCGCCCGGTCCCTGGAGACGGGACCCCCTGCAGACCGCGTCCCCTCTCCCTGCACCTGGGTGGCCTTGGATGCCAGGGAACCAGTCCTTGATGACCTGGGGGGACAGGAGCAGAGGTCAGAGCCAAGGTCAGGGGCAGGGCGGGACTTTGCTGCCTGGGGCTGGGGCTGGGCTAGGGCGCAGCTCTGGGGGTGGCCTGGTGGGCCCAGGCCCCAGGAGGTGGGGACAGCATGGGAAAACGGGCGTGGAGACGGGGCCTAGGCCACTGGCTTGAGGGGGCCGCCCCGAGCGAGCCCCGAGGAGCTGGGACTGTCCAGCGTGTCGGGGGCCTGCGGGCCGGGGGAGGCAGGAGGGCGCGGCTGGGGTGAGGGTGCCTGGTGCGGGGCGGCCGGGAGGCGAGGAGGGTCTGCCCTGCCCTGGCCCTGGCGGAGGACCGAGCCAGCTCCTGGCCACCTGAAGGAGGGTGGGCGCGGGACCCAGGCGCGGGTGGCGGGGCCCTCGTCCGGGGGGGCAGCTCCTGCCAGTGATGGAGGCAGCGGGGAAGAACCCGGGCTCCGGAAGGGGCACAAACTGAAAGCGAAAGGCAAACATCAGGAAATGCTCCTGGGCGAGATCCACAGAGGCCGGGGCGGGCAGGGGGCCGGCAGCTGGGGCAGGAGAGCAGGTGTGTGTCAGGGAAGGGGGCGAAGGGGGCTGCGGCGAAGGCCCTGGTGTGTGGGACTCCTCCGTGGAGGGCCCGACGCCTCCGGGCTGTCCGTGGGCCTTGGCACGCGCCTGTTCCTTGGCGCCTCACGTTCTACCTGTGAAATGGGTGTGACGGGGCTTTGCTGGAGTGCGAGCTCTGCGTTCAGCACCCAGGTGTGCTGGTGCAAGTCTATAATCCAGGCATTCTGGAGGCTGAGGCAGGAGGGTCACCAATTTGTGAGTTCAACGCATGACTGGACTAGGCAGCAAGATCCTGTCACAAAAGACAGTGTTGAGCGTGGTGGTATGGCCTGTAATCCCAGTAGCTGTAATCCTAGCATTCGGGAGGCTGAGGCAGGAGGATCGTAAGTTTGAGGCCCATTTAGGGTATATAACAAGACCCTGTCTCCAAAAATCTGGAGAGCTCCTAATGGTGGGAGAAGTGCAGACCCTCGGCAAAGGCTTGTGCCTGACGCTCTGTGCTGGAGAGCAGGTCTGCTCCGGCCGGCTGCCCACCCGAGGGAAAGGGCCTTCACGGCCATCACGGGTCATTGGTGGGGAGGTGGTGAGCTCAAGGCCGAGGGTGCTGAGAATGCCTGGGGGGCTCCAGGAGCTGCTGATCCAGCGCCACTGGCCCAGGAGCGATGGGAACTGTGCCCTGGAGCCCGGGGCATGGCCGGCCAAGCCGCGCCTCCAGGAACAGGGCTGCTGATTACGGGCGACTCCAGTCTGTCTCCTGCTGCTTTGCTGTTGGGGCCCACAGGAGACAGTGGGGGCTTGCTGGGAGGGGGGACCCCGACTGTGTGGCCATGACAGCCTTTCTGGGACTCACCCAGTGGCTCCTGTCCACCTCTCCCCCGCCCACAGGCTGACACTGTTACCCGCTAAGACCTGAGCGATGGCATCTGACCAAGGCCCGGGTCCCCCCGAGGAGGGGTGCAGAGAGGCCGCCCCACCGTCCGAAGCGGGTAAGCGCATCCCTGCCCTGCCCTCCCTCCGTGCCCAGGCCGGCTCCCGCCTCCCTTTGGGCCTAGGAGAAGGCAGAGGCTGGCCGTCTCCGCCCGGGCCGCACTAGGTGGGGAGGAGCCTGGCAATCTGGGCAGGAGCGGGAGAAGGGCAGGGCCGAGGGTGGGGTGCAGAGAGAAAGACGGAAGGAAAGAAAGTCTGCCAGCCTGGGAGGAAGTGAGCTGCTGTCACCCACAGGTCCCCGGAACAGGGGCGCCATTGTTGTGACGGGAAGGAAGTGAGGTTGCTGCCCTCTGCCCCTTCCGGGGCACCCAGGGGCCCCGCTCACAGCCTCCTGCGGGCTCTCTCTTCCCTGGCCTTGGGCTTCCGTCCCAGGTCTGTCCCTATCTTCCGAGCCCGGCGCTACAGTTTCACAGTGTGTCTCCCACCTGCCCTAAGCCCTAAGGGCTGGTGGCCTGATGGCCTGGCTGGTACCTTGGCCCGCTGCTGAGCACAGCTGTGTGACCTCATACATGTCCCCCGGCTGCCCGTGCCGAGGACACCCCTGGGAGCACCAGGTGTCTGCTCAGGGACATTTTTTCCCATGGAGCTGGGCGTGGTGGCACACCCTGTAATCCCAGCACTCGGGAGGCTGAGGCAGGAGGATCGTTGCGAGTTTGAGACCAGCCTGGGCTACAAAATGAGCTCACAAATGAGACCCTGTCTCAAAAAGACAAAACAAACAAACAAACATTTTTTCCCTTGGAGAGGGTGGCGGTGGCCCGGAGAGACTGGGGTGTGATTCACCCACAAAGCCCAGGCTGCCAGGGTCCAGCCCTCCCTGGCTGACCCCCGGCTTTGACCTCCAGAGCAGCAGGTGGCCCGGGACACCGAGGAGGTTTTCCTCAGCTATGTGTACTACCGCCATCAGCAGGAGCAGGAGGCCGAGGGGGCAGCTGCCCCCACTGACCCTGAGATGGATGCCCTGCCGCTAGATCCAAACAGGTGAGTGTTGGCCTGGCCCACAGGGACAGCCGCAGAGGGACAGAGGCTCATGTGGGGTCCTTATTCCGTGGCCGGCACTCACATCTGAGGACGCTGTCGGGGACATACAAGGAGGTGGACGGGGCCGGGGCCCGCAGGCACGCCCCAGCCTCCCTGCCCGGCGGCTCACCCTCTGCCCGCCCCCAGCACCCTGGCCCAGGTGGGTCGGCAGCTGTCCATCATCGGAGATGACATCAACCAGCGCTACAACACCGAGTTCCAGAGCCTGCTGCAGCAGCTGCAGCCCACGGCGGACAACGCCTACGAGCTGTTCCTCAAGATTGCCTCCAGGTGCCCACCCTGCGGCCCCCCACTGCCTGCTGTGCCCCTCACGCGCCGTGCTCCCAGGCCCACCCTCCTCTGTCCGTCAGCGCCCGCCCCGAGGAGCTCTGCCTCCGGGGACTGGGCTGGGTCGATCGGGGGTGATGTCGCGGGGTCCAGCTGGGACCCCAAAATGTAGGGCTGCCAGCCCCCCCTCATCTGGTACCTAGAAGACAATCTGGGCAGAGACCAGGTACCTGTTCCCACCCCCACCTTGCCACCTGCTGCTGGGCCCCGCTGGCCTTCGGGCCCGCGTGTCCACACCCACGAGGCAGGCGATCTCCGCCTGCGTGAGGCCATCAGGGTCAGGGCAGATGTGCGGGTGGAGGAGAAGGGGCGGCTGGTGGTAGACTTAGAACCTGCTCCGTGCTGAAGTGCACCTGTGCCCTCAGAGCCACCCCACTGGCTGACTTGGGGTGCTGTCCTAATCTCCTCTTCTGTCCTTTCCTTCTGCCGTCTCTCGGGCTGCCAGGCCAGCAGCAACACCCGCAGGTAATCTCCCTCCTTCCCCTGCCCTCTCTGTGCCTTCCGTCTGCGGCCTGGGGGACACAGCCCCGTGGCGGCACCCAGCTTGTTTGCCCCTGGCTCCTCTCAAGCTGAGGCCAGGCCACGGCAGCTTCTGCAGCCCTGATTCACAGCCCGACCATTCAGCCTTCCAAAGAGGGGCGGAGGGAAGGGCCTCGGCAGGAAGGGGGCGGGTTGAAGGACCCTGGGGCTCTCCACTGACTGCTGGGTGCTCTGCTTGCAGTCTCTTTGAGAGCGGCATCAACTGGGGCCGTGTGGCGGTTCTCCTGGGCTTTGGCTATCGCCTGGCCCTGCACGTCTACCAGCACGGCCTGTCTGGCTTCCTGGGCAGGGTGACCAGGCTGGTGATCGATTGCATGCTGCACTACTGCATTGTCCAGTGGATCGTGGACAAAGGCGGCTGGGTGAGTGGCTGAGGACGGCTGCGTCCCCCCTGCGGCTGGGGCTGCCCTGGTCCCCAGGGTGCCGGCCTGTTTGTGACTTCCCTGTCTCTCCCGGCAGAAGGCAGCCCTGAACTTGGTTAATGACCCCTTCTGGAAAGTGGTGATGATCCTTGCCCTGGTTCTGGTCGGAAAATATGTGGTACGAAGATTCTTCAAGTCGTCCTGACACCTGAGGGGCCCTTTGGGGTCCCAGCTGTGACACCTGCATTTCAACCCGAACTTCTCCCCCTCCTCTCCCCTGCAGGACTTCCCCCACCCCAAGAGTACACAAGCTTTAGCAAGTGGGCACCCCAGCATCAGGGGGCCCCTGCCTGGGGTCATTCAGGCTGCACAATGGCCCCAACATTGCATGGTGCTACCAGGCCCGTCATGGGCCTCCATCCTGGCCTCAGGGGGCTATAGCTTCTTTCCTCAGCTGTCAGGGACCCCGACCTTCCTTCCTCAGCAGCCCTTGAGAGACAAGAGGCTGGGGCCTGGTTCTTCCCAGGAAGCTTTTAATGGTTGTAGCTTTGTGTAATCCCCTCAGAGACACTCCTCATTCCCACCATCTGCCCAAGGTCAGGATGTCCAAGGTGTGAGGTCAGTGGCCCACCCAGTGTCCCCAGGACGTAGCTGCTCTGGAAGGCCAGAGTCCGAGAGGAAGGACACGAGCCCAGTCTTGGAACTCAGCGTGGCCCCCAGGGGCGGGCTGGCTGGGACGGGGGTCCACGTCCTGCTCCCCACCCCGTGTTGCCTTAGTGGTTGGACTCTCAGGGATTCTGGGCCAGGGCTGGGGGCAGGGGCAGGGGCAGCAGAGCAGTCTTCAGTGTCCACCAAGACCTCCGAGCCTGGTCCCCAGTCCTGGTTCCTGCCCACCCCTCACCGAATAACCACTGACCCCAACCCAGCCGCTGTAGGACCTACAGTGTGAGGTGAAGACCTCACCCCACTTCCCAGGGGCCTTCCTGCTGGGCTGCCTTTGACTCTATTGTGTGTGGAGGGGGTGCTGGAGATGCCTTGGTGGGAGGGTCGGATGTAGCTGGGGAAACCATGAATACTTGAACTCCACCTCATGCCACACTCCACGGCCTGTGGGGCCCTCTTGGAGGTGGGTGGGAGGACCTTTTCTACCTTGCACAGTTGAGGGCTGGGGGGTCATGGGGAGAAGTTCTTGATGAAGCCAAATGCATGGAGAGGTTGCAGGTGGTGCCTGCTGGCCACCTACACCCCCATCGTATGATGTTATTTGCAAATAAACCGTGCAATGCCCCCACTCCCGCCTGGCACGTTTGTACCCTCTGGTACTCGGGTTGGGCTGTGGGCAGGCACCTGGCTTGTTACTGAACTCTCACCAGGGCCCTCAATCTCCTGTGGAGCCCCGGAAGACCTCGGCCCCTTCTCCACGCCCATCCTTCATTTCCTTGAGGATCCAGGCGGCTTTCCAGCCCTGCAGGAAGTCAGGGATCCCGCTGGCTGGGAACGGGAAAAGCAGCAGAAGCCTGAGGACCCCTGGGGCCACTTCAAGCCTGGCCTGGATTCTTCTTCCTCCCTCCCTGGGCTACCGCCCACGCTGGCCCAAAAGACTTCTCCCCCACACTTAGCTCTGCCTGGGACGCAATGTCCCAGCTCCCCTTGCAGACGTCCCCACAGCTACACACGAACACACGGGGCTTTTTCCGTTCTAGTTCGCCGCTGCAGGGGAGTCCCTGTGGGGCGGCAGCCAGGGGTTATAAAAATAACAAGCTTGGGGGCGTTGAAATGTTCCCAGATCTACATCTCTCCAGGCCTGGGCGCACGGGTGTTTCGGACGCCCTTCACGTCCGAGTCCCAGCGCTGGTCTCTGCTCCCCGCCCCTCTACGACCCGGGTCTGCAGCGGGGCAGAAGGGCGGGGCGCGGCTCCGAGCGGAGGCTAGAGGACCCTGCAACGTGCAAGAAGAGCTCAAAGACACGGTCTACGCTAGTGCGGGCCAGACTTAACGAGAAAACTTTGTTTTCGCAGCCCAAGCGCCAGGTGCGGTGCGGTGATGCGAGCCTGCGTGTGTGCGAGATGCCAGCAAACGGGTGCCTCGCCCGAAAAGGTCAGGGAGTTAGAACTCGCCACCAGCACACTGGCCCGAAGTCTTGGGTGCAGGCAGCAGGGGAGAGGAGCGCCGCTGGTCCCGCTGACACTGTTTAAGGGACAGACTGATGGGTCGCCCGCAAGACTGGAAGAGACGGGCCGCCCGAGTCAAAAATGGCGCCGCTGCTTCGAACGCACAGGCGTGCCCTTCTGTGGGCGGGGCCTCCGGGTTTTGAGGCTGGCGGTAGCGTGGACCGTGGAGGGCAGAGTGCATCGTTTCCGCCCGCGGGAAAGGTGCATCTGCAGTGATTGGAGCTGTGGTCATCTCCAACCTTCTGAAAAAGGTGTTGGGATATTATTCTGCACATCTTTTTTGATGTTGTTCAGTACTGGAGATTGAACCCAGGGTCTTCCCATTGAGCTCCATTCCCAACCCTTTTGGTTTTTTAAATAAGTTTTAATTTTAAAAACATTTTTTTTTATTTATTTCAGTGGTTTTCTTTTTTAGACAGGGTCTCACTGTATAGTCTAGTCTGACCTTGAACTCACTATGTAATCCAGGCTGGCCTCGAACTCAAAACAATCCTCCTGACTCAGCCTGCCAAGTGCTGGGATTACAGGTGTGAGCCACCACGTCCAGCACCCCACCCCTTTTTATTTTGATACAGGGTCTCGATAAATTGCTAAGATGCTCTGGCTGGGCTCGAACCTGCCATCCTCCTGCCTCAGCCTCCCAGGTGCTTTCCTGGGTTGCCAAAGCCAGGGAGTGAGAGGTAGGACAGAGTAAGCCATGGGCTTGGTGGGAAGCAGGGTGGCCAGGAGGACTCACTCCTATTGCAAATTGTGCTGAAATCCTGGCTTGTTCCTCCCAAAAAGGCCTGGGTCCGTGTCATGTGTGTATGTGTGTGTGTGTGTGTGTGTGTGTGTGTGTGTGTGTGTGTCCCACCCCAAGCCTGGGGCCACTGAGCTGCAGCTGTCCTTCTCAGCTGTGCAGTTTCGGTGTAAATATCTCCCTTCCCAGCGGCCTCAGTCTCCTCACCCACCCTGTGGTCTCACTTTCAAGTATTTGATTTACCTCGCTGAAGAATGTCTATTTTCGGTCACTGGGCATCCACTCAAACCCTGTATTTCAAAAAAAAGGAAAAAAAAATCCTTTCTTCACCTAAAAGCACTCAGCAGGTTATTTGAAGAAGTTTCTATGACCAAACTATCTGGCGAGCATTTCATAAATTAAAGTGAATTCACTGGTTCTTTAATGAAGAGACCATATCCTGTTCCACTCGCACACACTTTAAATGTAGAGCATGGTGGTGCTCTGGCTGGGCATGGTGGTGCACTCCTGTAATCCCAGGCTGAGGCAGGAGGACTACATAGCTAGATCCTGTCTCAAAGAAAAAAAAAGAGGAGACGCCTCTGATTCTAGACACTTGCAAACTGCAGATTTAATTCATTTCTTTTTTTGTTTGTTTGTTTGGTTTGGTTTTTTTCCGGTACTGGGAATCGAACTCACGACCTCGAGCTTGCCAGGCAGGCACTGTGCCGCTGAGCTAAATCCCCAGGCCCCTGCAGATTTAATTCAATCCAATTCAATCTGATTCAATGTGAGCAGAACAGATAGTCCTCATTCCCATGTGTGTGCCCGCCTGTGACCCGGGAACCTGCCCCCCACAGTCACACCACAGACTCCAAGACCCTGGCCATCTGGAGACTGTCCCCCACCTGCTCTCCCTTCCCCCTGCCCTGACCTCTGACCCCACCCAGGGCAGCTTCACCAGTTTATTTCCAGCGGGCAAGCAATGGGGTTCCGGGACAGGGTGAAGCACACCTGTAACCCAACACTCTGGGAGGCTGAGACAGGAGGACCGCAAGTTAAATCCCATCCTGGACAGTTCAGCAGCTTAACTGGATCCTGTCTCAAAATAAATAAAGGGCTGGGGATATAGTTCAGTGGCACAAGCACCTGCCTGGCAAGTGCAAGGTCCTGAGTTCGATTCCCGGTACCAAAATAAAATAAAATAAATCAAAATAAGTAAGAAGAGAGGATGGGGGTGTGGCTCAGTGGAAGGCCCTGGGTTCAAGCGCCGGTACAAACGCACACACCAACTGCAGAGGCTGTGGTCAGGCTGACAGCCAAGTGGTGGCCTAGCAAGGGTCTGGGCTGTGTCACTGCACCGCTGTCAGACCCTGACCTTGGATGCAGCCCGGGTGGCCTGAGCAGCAGGCTGGCCAGGAGCAGCCCCTCCCTGGCCCGGTGGGAGAAGGAGCTCAGTAGGGACAGCGGCTGTCCAGGCCCCTCTAGGCCTGTGGGCCTCTACTGGTTGCTTCTGAGGGGCACGGCTATTCCTGGGTGTTCCCACACAAGGGTAGGGCGCCTGAGTCACCCACAGCTCCATCTCCCATGGCTGAGTGTTTCCCCACGCACTGGGGTTGGACCCAGGGCCTTGGTGCTGAGCTCTGTCCCCAGCCCCTTTATTTATTTGGAGACCCTAAAGCTCATACTGGTTATTTTTT